TTTTTATATTATTTTTAATTTCATGATGCGACTACTTTTTGTTGTATTTTCTTTATTAAAAAAAACTTAATGGTGTCTTAATTTTAAGATTTTCTTCAAACCAGCATTTTGAGTAGTCCGTAATCCCAATCCTATTTTTATTCTGCGTGTATGTTACGGAAAAGTTAGTCAAATTGTTTCAAAATGCATTTCTTACCAGTTTACTTAGTTGCTAAATATTTTTTTTTTTAGATATTATGCTCTACCATTTTGAATGAATGGTACCAGGTGTGGGACAGTTTCTCAGTTTTTGGAAGCACAACTAGGCTAGATATTTTCCATGATGCTTTGCTTTTAATATCAGCCACAGAAAAGCGTAACCGTACAGAGAAAACATGGGCGTGCCTATTATATGGCTATAGAAATTTCATTCATATTTTAAGGGTAAGTGTAATAATAAATGTTATACCACTGTTTTTTTATAGAATAAGGGTTGAAAAGCGAGCACACATCCCACCTGAGATCTATCCTCGATTAATCGATTCAGTACGTATGGCACGCCAGTCGTGTCATCAATTATTTTTCTGTGTGACGTAAGACACGCGAGTCGTGTCATTTTAAAGATCGTCAAACTTGGTCAAATTGCGTTTTTGGAATATTTATCCAAAACAAAATATTCATTATTTTGCAAGTGGTTCATGCCTACAGCTTCGTTTCTGGATATTTCGAGTATTTGAAATTTTAGGGGTTGACAACCTTTTTTAACTTGTAGATGGTACTCATTTTACTGAGTGAGTTTTTTAAATCATGTGGATAAATACTCTAATAACAAATAATATCACTCATTGCGACCGCTCACAAACTCAAATTGTAAACAAGTTTCTGGTAAACAAGTTTCCTGTTGAAAACAATGCGTTTGCCTTATTGTTCAATTTTGCTTAAAATGGTTGAATTGCCGTTTTATTACTAACATATGGCCGAATGGACGTACGAAGTACTATGAGCTCTTGTGAAAGAGGATAAGGTTTATTTTTGCTTGAATCAGCTCAAGCGCGTTCATGCATAAAAAAAGTTCGCTAATAAATAGAGTCTTGTTCAACTCCGCTGTACTAGTTATTGCTTTTTCCTTTTGAAAACGCTTGTTTACTATTCTTACTAAAGACGTTTTAGATCGTTATTACTAGGCGATAATTTAATTTAGTAAAGTCCAAGGTATTTCAGCGTGATTTGGCTGCAACTACTTATATGTTTTTTATGAAACAAAAAATAGTACCAAAGGTTTGTTATCTCTGCATAAAAAAGTTATTCTCGATTTCAAGAAAAACACGTAAACAAACACGTAGTTGGCCACTAAAAACAAATATCCTTCCGTTTGCAAGTGATGTTTGATGTGAACTAAACTTAATCAGGTCTAAACAAGTGAAAAAAGTATTAAAAAGAACGTTATTATTACACATGGCTAATGGCACAATAGGCGTGTCATCAACTTTCATGGCGCTTGACACGACATGCGTGTCACGAAATATTTGTTCACCGCCACAGCTAAAAGTTGTCGAAAATTGGTGTCGCAACGAATCGGTTAATAATCAAAAAAGCATATGCATTGTCACTCCTGAGGACTAAGATGGAATTCCTCGTTTCCAATAAAAAGGGTCTCCGGTTCTCTACCATATGAGACAGCAGCATCGAGCTGGTATTGTACGCTAGTATTTTGTGAGAGAACATGTTTCTGTGGTATTCATGCCTTATTACTGGAATCAAGACATATCATCTTAGGCCCCCAGGGGTGACAACGAATCTGCATTTTGATTCTTAATCGAGGATAAATGTAGATGTCTATGGGCCACAACATCCACTTACAATCAGGTGGACTGTGTGCTCGTTTGTCACTCTCATTCTATATAAAAAAGGAACTAGGTAATAGTTAGTCCTTTTTTGCTAAGAAATCCATCGGGGTTGATAGTACCCTCTTACTTATTTCTGGCGCCAACAAGCAGTTCTTGCACTTCTGTGTTCCGGTCTGAAGGGTATATAATACCAGTAAAATCACAGGCTGTGAGACATTCCGTCTTAGTCCTTGGACGTGTCAATGCACATGATGTAGCCTTCTTGGTTTAAAACTGGCTCAACGTGTGCATGGACTGTAGTAGCCACGTAATATTAAGTGGATTGTAGATTTGTTTTTCACCTTAGTTTTAAAATCATCATCACCATCATTATGGCTCATCACAAGTCCAATGAACATAGACCTCTCCCAGGAAATTCTTCAAAACACGGTCCCGAGCCACCTGCATCCATCGATTTCCTGCATCTCTTACCAGGTTGTCACTTCACCTAGTAGGGGGCCGCCGTAAAATTCATTTACCGGTATGGAGCTGGCACTCGTTTACAGTGGTCTCAAATGTCAAAATACTATGCTGTGTGTGCTCTTAAATGATACAGGAGTGTACTTCTGAAACTTGGTGTTTAAGTGCGTCTTTCTCGATGTAATACCAATAACATGACAACTCGTTTAATATACGTTATTAGCGCCTTTGCGACTTTCCAGCAGACAGCCAGCAAATTCTTCTTCCCATATTTTCTCAGCTCAGCTGGAATAGCCAATGCCAGTGGTTTTGCTAGTTCAATTTTTTTCACAAACCGAAATAATATTTTGGTTTCCAGTCGTTTACAATGTGGAAGCAACTGAAAAATCACTGCTAATTGACAGTTGCTTGGAATTGATGCTGTAGGCCATGTACACCCTCATCTCCACCTTAAAAATCAAAATGCAGATCCATTGTCACCCACAGGGACTTAAGAATTTTTTAACACAGATACAGCGTAGGTCCACCACATCAATACCTTACTTTTATATGAGACCTATATTCGTTATATTCTCTTGACTATAAATCTATGTGATGTTTCAGTACAAATATATATTGGAGCCCATAACAGACCACCAAGTCATAATAGTGATTAGTAAAATAGCGAACATAGTAAATTTATTGGAAGAAGGTCATATAGAAGAATTTCAATCAGTTGTTTTTCCCCTCCTGGCTTACATTGCTGAAAGAAGAAATGATTACACTGTTAATGTACTAACCTGTGTAAGTGATAAGATAAAAAATGAGCTGTTTGCAGGATTAATAAATAAACTTTTTACCAATGATACAGTGTAAAGTTTACTTCCAAGACTTATGTAACTTAACAATTATGTTAAAAATAATGAAAATACTCAAATCAAACCAGTCCAAAACTGTCTTGTTGAACATTAAAACATTTATTTAAAATAGAGTTTTATTTTAATATATATGCGGAAATTTGGAGAATTTAAAAAACCTCTAACTATTTTACAATTTTGAACTAACTAGGAAAATTATACCTGGAGGCAGATATTGGGCGGTTCAATGGAGACAAACAATTTAGACTGTACATTTTGCTTTCATTAGGAATGAAATTGAAAGGCAAAACAAACCGTGCAATATCTGCCTTAAGATCTTTTACAAAAATGCTACGCCTTGGTACTAGTTTTCAAAATGCAAAAAAATTTGTCGTCGTGATGTAAAGGTAACTGAAAATATATAAAGCTCAATCAACAAAAAAAGGATTTTCAGTTTTTATTTTGTAAAATATCTGGTAAGTTGCATTCGACTAACTCCGAAAATCGGGCTATTTCAATAATTACAAATTTCTAGAAATCGCGGCAATAATTTTTGTTCACGTAGCCGCTATCTTAATCAGCTTCCACCATGTGTAATTGCCCTATTAATGATTATACAAAGAAATGGTCTTTCTTGAAATTTTTTTTCAATTACGCCTTTTTAATTCCAAAAAAATGCAACGCATTTAAGACTCAAAACCCTGAAGTCACTAAAAGAACTATGCGTTGACTTTTTTTAACCAAAAATTTCAACTTTCTGAAGAAATGCACATGAGCATAATGAGCAAACTAAGCCCTTTGTAGCATAATCGACATTAATGATTGATCGAAAATGCCTGCAAAGTATCTAACCATTCTTAAACCAAAGAAAAAATAAACCTAAAATAACTATAATTTCACATATATTTGCTTGAACAAATATGCCAGAATAAGAAAAACGTTAAGTACTTATATTAACACATATAGCAGAAGAGAGGTACGGATTAATAATTTAAAAAAAGTAGGTACAGAAACAGTTGCGAATTTTATTATAAGTGTGTTATGTAAACTTCTTAATTTAATCTACAGGCACATTTTCGACTATCTTAATATAAAAATTCCAATATTTCACATAAAATATAACAATAAAAGCCTCTTTTTTATTCGTATTTTAGCCTAAATCTTAAATATGAATATCTTATTTATTACTTTATTACTACTTATCATATCTTTCGTGCTCTACTACTAACTATCGTATCTTTTATGTTGAATCTTAATGATTCTATTACCTGCCTCTGCATTTAATATTTTTACATTTATTTCAAACACATTTATACTTATACAAATGGTGTACCACTAACTAAAATGTTGACTACAGTAGACAACTTGTAAAGCAATTCCGAAATACAAATATCACTTTCAAATATTTAGATAAGAAATATTTCTTTTTAGAGGTAAATTTGAACGAAAAAGTTATATTATGTTCCTCAAGCACAAAAACTAAATTAAATTAATTTTAACAGTATTCAGAATTATACTTGAACTATTATTTATTCTGTGATTACATGAGCATAGGTGCTTGGGGATTGCACAAAGTAAAAATAATCAGGTTTTTAAATATGTACTTGTATTTATAAATACCGAGGATATTTTAAATTTAAAGTGACAAATTTTTAGCAATACCAATTCTGAGTGGTAAATTAAAAAATAAATGTCCCGCCAATTTTCAAAAATCATTTCGCAATTACTGGAATCCACCTTACTCTAACGTTAGTTTATACTATATCTATGACCTTAATACATATATTTATACGTAATGACAAATCATTATTGTCGTCTTAATATCTTATGTATAGGTTTACTTTTTTCTTTGTTTATTGGTGCTGATCAATTTTCTGAATCAATAGCTTAGTTTTCTCTGACGCAAACGCGAATCACGTTTACGATTATTCCCACAATAGTGTCCCAACTGTTGACACATCTGACAAAGTTCCTTTTTATGTTCTTGTTTAGTTTTCGAATCTTTGAAATCAGAAGCCCGTAACTCTCTCTGAAGGAAAATAAATAACATTGTTGAGTATTCCAAAATATGGATAAATAATATAATATAATTCATTCATCAGTCTGGTAATTCAACTGGTTGATTGTTTCAATTTTTTTTCTCTTTATTAGGTTTACCAACAATTGATAACACTAATAACACATCAAATTAACACAATTACTTAAAAGTATTAACACAAGTGCTACAGTTACTCAAAGTTTAAGGTTTATTATTTTATTAGATTATTAGACACCTAACAATAACATGTGGTAGCTAATTGCTCGCTAAAAATTTCACATTTCCAATGAAATTGTTATATACATATTTGAGTGCAGATTTACCACGGCGGTGAAGGAAAATATCGTCAGGAAATCAACACGTCTGCGATATTAAAAAATTGATATAAGGACCCGTGAACTCCGCCAACACGCATTGGGCGTAGAGCCGCTCGGGCGGTGAAGAAGAGGCCTGTACCCAGGAGTTGGACGAACACTGTAGTCTGTAACTTTTTTTACTTTTTACATAACAATATGAATAATAAGGTAATACACTACTACTAGTGTAGTTAAATAAACCTGAAAAATAATTGTGTTTCATCTCACTGGTTACAAAATTGCAGATCATAATTTATTACTTATTACCTAGAAATAACTATTTGAATGGGCCCCGGTTGCATAGTTATCTTAAACTTTCCAGCCTGTTTAAACACTATTATCCACGTAGTCATTAATAGAACTACAGAAAGGGTAAAAAGGAGACGGTGGATTGATTTTAGATTACGGTCTGGTTTAAAAAAAATAGTTAAAAAAAATTCCAAACTAGAGCGAGCATTTTAGCCCTTATAAAAGGGCTACTGAAATTTAAACAAGGAAACCGTGATATGGATGGATGATTTCGTAAAACACATTACTATGATAGAAAAGTTCAAAGTTGTTACGCCCATCACTTAGATTACATGTTTGAAGAAACACACACTAACAGATGTAACAACTACGGCCTTAAGCAATGATTTTTTATATAAATGAACATTGCTGAGAGTTACGTTTTATGTAAATAAATATTTGTGTACATATTATGAGTTATTTATAGTTCTAAACAATCTATAAAGTGAGATATTGAAATATAAGAATTAGTTCTAAACAATGCGTTCAAGTGTCATTGAAAGTGTGATGTGATATTGGTGTTGTCATCAGTCTTACATACATAGAACATTTCACTAGAGAACACAGCCTCTATCAAGTTAAAAGGTTTTTACGACATATGGCAGTTATCTTGAAAATATGTAAGTAACCATATTAATTTAACATACCTGCTTGTGTGGATACACATGCTTCTTGCAAAGTTCGCAAAGTTGATACCTATTAGGCCAACAAAGCCTGCTAGTCCAAGTGTGACCACAAGCAGAGCATTTATATTCTCCGAAAAGTGGCCGTGGTTTGTTCAAGGATACTGGTCTAGACTGAAATTAAGTTAGAAAAAATATTAGTTTAATAACGAGTAAAATCAAATATTTAAATCCCATATTTGACTACTCTCTGGTTTAAGATGTCAATTCCTTTTTCAGTATTTTTTTAGTTAACGGCTTGCATCAAACAGGCGCATACCGTTGAAAAATTTGCCTTCACTTATCTCGGAATGGGCACGGTTTATTTAATACTCAGCCAATATTCTAACATTAGTAGTTCTGAAATCCAGTTTTTGGAATTTCAGCTCTATTCGCTATTTCACTATCCAACAATAAGATCGGTGACGTCAGTAACACACGTGCACTACACACAGGTGTACTACGTACTTCTATCTATTTATAACCTTTAAATACTGTTGTACTGGCTATATTTTAATAAACATATTCAATAATATAAGTATCAGATTGCCAAACAAAAAAGGAAGCACTTTAATATTTGTTCATAAATTATTTACAATAATAACTTGTTGGTTTGATGACGTGAGTGCAACCAGAACAAAATTCAGTGAGTTGGATTTTATTTCTTTATTTATTTACACATATTACGCACTCACGCACACATCTATTCTCTTTATCAACCTCTAAAAGTTATTTATTTAACGGAGGCAGTTCGTAATTGTCCGTAAAAGATATTAGTATTATGCTACCAAGTAATTTTATCAACATTATTTAGGATTACCAAAAACACACACACCTACATTATACCAATGATACATTCTGGAAAGAGGGAACCAGGATAAGCTGACCAAAAGTCCCATGTCGACTGATTATGAGTTCTTTTTTATAGGGAATTAATTGCCTGCGCATACCAGCGGGGGCGGACGACGGGGGTCGCGGGGTTTGCTAGGCTCATACTGTCTAAAACCCAAACAGGTATTTCACATTTAGCCTTTACCGCATTTTAATGTGAGCAAACGACGTTAGTACTTGTTGAATGTAGATGCAGAGTATTAAGACTGCAATACGAAATGAATATAATTATAATAACGTCCTCCACACCGAATTTCGGTCACGGCCGCCAGCCTCATCGGGGACTAGCCATCGGCGCAGGACAGGATTATAGTGCCCCAGTGTAGGCGCAATCACAGGTGCACTCTCTTTTCCTCTCACTCTCATGGTCCGATGCAACGATAAACGTACACAACCGGAGAGAAATCAGGCGTAGAACCAACGGCTTTACGTGCTTTTCTAGGCACGGGGATGAGACACCAACAAACTACTTCCTGACTCCGGGCAACTACTGAGAATTTCTTGATGGAAAAATTCCATAACTGATATTATTTTTTGGCCCGACCTGAGAATCGAACCGGTGACCACACGATTAGCAGTCGCACTACTGCAACCACTACACCAACGAGGCAGTGGTATATAGTACCTAGTTATAATGCTGCTGTGTTTCGTATGACGACCGACGAAAACTAGAGACATTTTACTGCTAACGCGACATTCCGTTAGTCTTTAGGGGTGTCAATTCATCTGTATTTTGATATTAATCAGCTCTTTCTTCTAAGGCAAGATGCGCCACAAATCTAATCGATGGCTCCGCCGCTTACCACGTTTCTAAAGCGGTGTGTAGGGAGAGCGGCACTTCGCTATACCACATTAAACTATTTATATATACCATCACTCCTCCCGCGGTCTCATCAACCGTCAACACGCATTCATAAAATGACTTGCTTAACCTTTTCGGAATGGCTGACTTCTGCCTTCCCTTCACCTTGGGTCAGCCATGTAAGTTCCTCTTCGTTCACCGTGATTAACTAAGCTACGGCTACTAAAAATTGTCGTGGTGCCCCACACCCACACCACCTCCACGATAACACATGGTGGCTGTTCAGTAAAGGGGAAATGTCGTGGCCCTTTAAGAATGACAGTGGCAACGAAAATGTGGAGGCAGTGAATAGTATTTCTAGAAAAATCAGCCCTGGATCAACCCAATCGATGAGTTTTACGTATCGTGTCTACAAGGTCTACAAATAAAATTCTTTTTTTTTTCTAAGAAACATTGCCAGGTTATGGTTTAAAATAAAAGAGCATATCTTTGTCTTTGATACTATTATCTATTGCATAGTGTCTTTGGTTTTGTTTAAAACGAAAAAATAGTTTTTTCATAGGTACACACGTTTACATAATTCTGATCAAATTAGCACACTACTTGGCGGACGTAAGGTAGGTATTGTACGATCAAAAGTGCGCATGGCTTGGTTTACAGGTTAATTAGTCATTTTGCGTATATGTGTGTACCTGTACCGCAAACCCCTCCCCCTCCCTCATGTCCTATATAAATTTGTTTTTATCTCAATGGCGTATCTCTCATTACAATAGTGGTTCAAGCTGAGGTTCGTACCTCTTTCAGAGAGGTCAAGGGCCTCTCTGAAAGAGGTACACATTGAGCTCCCCCACTCCCCTAGCTAGAGGAGCCTCACTCCAAAAGCAGGTGCCGGGCGGCCGGGGTGCCTCGGGAGACTCGGGACTGCAGTCGCCTCGCCGACGACAGAATCGTTGCACTCAATAGCTCGTGAGTCCACGCTCACGAGTCTTTTTCTATGAAGCTGTAAAGGCCGCAGGGTCAACAGCATACCTACACTTTCAGAAAAAAAAAATACTATTATCTTTAACAATGGCTGTACGCAGTAGTATATAAGTTAATAAGATAATAAGTCTATGCGTACCTGGACGGGGTTTTTTGGGCTTATCTGGGCTCTTACGTAAGTTTCACTATAGGAATAGACTTGATGTGAGGATGATAGTCTAGCATTGTCGAGTCTATTGTGCGCATTACGTTCAGGGGGCTGTAAGATAAGATAATATTTAATTTACACATTTTATTATTCCACATGAATTCAAGATGATAAAAACCATCTCAACTTGAGTAAAGCCATAATGAAACTAGAATATTTTTTTAATGAATAATAGATAATTTTACCGTCTTAGTAAAAATAATTTCACATTTAAAAAAAATACAACCAGATAGCATTTTGCTTTAAATATACATAGAATATTATTCTATATAAGTAAATATATCAACAAATTTAAAGAATGATAATATGTATGTTTGTAAAATAGGTAAATAAAAACTGTTTTACCTACATTTCATTCGTAGAAAAATACAACCTGATAGCATTTTGCTTTAAAAATATAACTAATTTAAAAAATGTTATGTACCTATAATTGTAGAATAAATACAAACCTCTGATGACCAAAAACAGCCCATATTTTATAGATAATTAACAGGCCGTTTACAATAGTACTTCAGTGCACCAATCTACTGTTATTTCCTTTTGTTTTCTGCGATAGATTTTCAAACAGTGTAATGTACTATTCAAACTTAACACTTATTGTATTTTATTATGTATATTACAAAATATATTTATCTTCTGAAATGTGCATAAATTCTGTTTGTAATTTTTTTACTATAAAGACGGTATTTTACACAACAATAATGAACAAAGTGCCACTTACACGCTAGTAATTCAAAGTACCTACTCTCTGTTCGGACAACTATACCCGTACCTATCACGAAATAAATAATAGTAGGTACTCCCGTATCACTCCGATTCACACTCGTATGTACTATGTACAACTCGGTTTTGCACCTCACTGGTAACTGCAATTTGAGACCCTTCCTCTTTCCCCGCTCCCAACCCCGCGTACATATAGTCGCGTCTGTACGGTTTGCATCTTTGTAACCGATACGCACGTCTTAATTTAAAAATTAATTTGTTTAGTTTTTAGATTATTTTGATTAATTTTTCTGTTGAATTGTTATAGTTATATTATATATAAAAGACTTTTTTTGTTATTATTGTTACGCGTTGAAACTATTCCTGTTAAGTTTATTTTATTATAGACGTTATGTTCAGTTCAATCTATTTTACAATTACATTGAACTGAAAAGTTAGGTATTCATAGTTAAGGAAAGAAAAGTGTGTTGGGGTAATACCGGGCGGATTTTCGACTAGTTGAAAGAGTCAGGCAAAAACTATTTTCTCGACATCTCTAAATGTTAGATTTCTGGAACATGGTGCAAATCGTTAATGGATAAACGTAGCTTAGATATAAGAAGCTTTTATAAACAGTTTCTGCTTAAAATATGTGCGAATTTTTTCTATGCTTGATGAAGAATTGGCCAACAAGGGGTAAAACCAAAGATATTTTAAAACATCTTTGGGTAAAACCGAACGTAAATTTAAAACCACTTCTACTTCTTAGAGAACAAGTTCATAAAAGGGATTTGTCCTATCCTTTAATTAAATACCTGTCATATAATCAAATGTCCTATCTTTACCGCTCAAAAAATATTTAAATATGATCTGTAAATTTATTAGAGACATAAACGATACTCCGTTTTTTTCGTTTCGTGGCATCCCATCTTATCCCTGATATAAAGAAATTGTAATTTTGTGGTTCTCAAACTTTGTTATGACATAAGATGGAATCATTACTCAATATAAAGGAAAGATCGGATTTGATATTGATCGCATTTGATATTTTTTTACTGGGAAAGAAAATTTTATTCTAAAAAACTTTGATTTTTAAACAAAATGTAACAGTAAGGACTGATGAAATGTCTTGGGGCAATACAGGAGTAGAGGAAGATGTAAGTATTTTAGCAAAGTGGCATATGGCGAAGCAGGTAAAGTTGCCTGAATTTCGCGGTATGTCACATGTCGATCTTCCTCAATCAGCTTACGCACAGCATCAACGTTTTCTTGGGTGACTGCAGTTTTTAGACGACCTTGACGGGGATCATCACTGAGCTTGACACGTCCACGTTGAAATTCAGCAAACCAGCGATAAATTGTGGTTTTGGATGGGGCTTCATCACCAAATTCAGAAATCATCCGGTCAACACACTGTTTTTGTGTTAAACCACTTCGAAAGTCATAATAAATCATCGCTCTTGAATTTTCTCGAGTCAATTCCATTTTCTCAACGACTAAACAAGTTTGAAAAAACTTGTGACACGACCGAGAATCTTTTTTTAAATAAAGAAATGGTATTCGATTTTTAAAACCAAGGAGTTTTCAATTAAAAAGATTTTAATATGACAGGAACAGTGGAAATATTCCATTCTCGATACTTTTAGTGCAGCCTAGGTACATAATTGTCCTACAACAATCCTTACATTTATTCTTGTATCAGCGAGGGCTTTATAGCAGAGACGAGTTCGTTACGCTGGCCCAATGCATTTTGGCAAGCTTCATAATATTATTTCTTCAAATATTTTAATTTCGCCTTACTCAATACAAAGTTTAAAAAAATACATTAGTAACTGTCCCGGTTTATTCTGTTATCCACCCTAAGAAATACACCCTAGGGTGGATACTCAGAAACGCGTGTTCGTTTCACATCACAGACTTGAGTTATTTTTGGCTTTAATTTTATAAAAATTGTAATATCTCCAGTACTTTTTTAAATTAAGGTTTTATTTTCTTTATCCATTACTCAGAAGTAGTTTCTGTTCCTATTTCTTTAAATCATATCAACTGAAATATTATAATAAATTTGTTATACTACATCTAAGTTAGGGCACTTATATTCATATTTATTTCTATGTTAAAAATAAAATATAAAGAAATGTTTCATAATAATAATCATATAATTACATCAACAGTACATATTTTAACAGATTTATTACAAAAAAGCAATCCTCTTTATACAATGTTTTTCAGCAAAACAATGTTTAAAACTTTCATTCTAAACCAACTTCTCTGAGACTATACAAAAGTGACCTCCATATTTTAACGTATATTTATGTAAATAAGCGCTTTAAGTATTGAAGCTTGATGTTTACTGTAACTTGAGCTTATCAGGTAAGCAAAATCACAAGTGGTCCATGGGTATGCTCAATGGAACTAGAATAAGAGTTACACAAAAAAGGGTCCTTTTTTACTTAGAAATTAGTGGTTACAAGAAATTGATTTTTAAATGATTAAGTTGTTTGTTTGAACAAACTGTTATATTTTCCAAGATATATATTCAACTATCTTTAATTTAAATTTAAAACCTTGAATGGTTTCTAAGAACTTTCGTAAAATCAATTGTCGTAAAGCGACAATTAAAAACTAAAGAACCTAACCTAACAACAACGAAACAACAAAAATAGAACAAAAACGAATAATTTATTTAAAATTTTAAAAGATATTTACAGTTTTATATAAAAAAAAATATGAAGATGAAACGGAGCCCGAAGACCAAAGTGGCACACCGCGCTTGGCGGTGGTGCTCACCGCTCACGGAGTATGCACAGGCTATGCCAGTGGTAGGTGCGCAGCGCCTGATCTAGGCACACGCAGCGTCTGGAGAAGGCACACGCAGCGCTTGGAGTAGGCACATGCAGCGTCCGGAGTAGGCACACGCAGCGCCTGGAGTAGGTACACGCATCACCTGGAGTAGGCACACGCAGCGTCTGGAGTAGGCACCACAGCGCCTTGGTAGATGCTCTCAGCGCCTGAAGTAGGCGCTCGCAGCGCCTGGAGCAAGCACGCACAGTGGCTAAAGATAGCACGGGCACTAGTAGGTGGAGGCGTAGACGTGGCTAGGCGACGACTTCAGGTGAAGGTAAAGGATTGCAGGATCCCGGGGCAGTGCGGTCCCGGGATAAAGCCTTTAGGAGATGCTTCTAGTTTGAAAGCTGAAGCGAGACTGACTTTATTGGTTTTTTCTTTTTTTTTGCGCCCGAAGCAATTAAAGGGCTACCCTATACGTAGGGAGGCGGAAAATGCATTACGCATACCACGATAGCTGGTCTATCGTGGTTATGAGGGGCTCACTATCCTACCGGGGACCCTAAGTGATACCCTCTAAAAACCGCCTTTGAGGACAGGCAACCGGCTGATTAAGCTCTATTGTGCCTTATCATGAGCGACCCTCTTTTGGGAAAAGAGGGCGCAGGCGGCTAAGTGCCGCTGAGGGAGTGCCTACGAAGGCACATTAATGTTAGTTATTACAATAATTTAATTTAATTAGAGTTGGCCTGAGCCGCCAGGAGACAGTTCAGGTCGTTTGACAGTTTATTAGGCGGGTCCGAGAGAGAGTTTCTCGGCCTGCGGACACGATAGCGAGAGGGGGGGTGGGGCTTCATAAGAAGCTGCCTCACGAATTAAATGGTTTGGGTGCGACTCTGAGGCTTTGAAGAAGTTCTCAGAGAGTTTTTTAAAAAATTGTTGGGAGCTCTAAGTCCCGATGAAGGTCGGCATTACGGACGTACCAAGGTGCGTTCGCAGCTCGACGACAGAAGAGGTTCTGAACTATTTGGAGTTCATTTAAAATATTAGGGTTTGCGTGGGCAAAGACGGGGCCCGCGTAGGACATGACTGGTCGTATACAGACCTTGTAAAGGGTACGCTTGTTTCGAAGGGACATTTTACTGTGTCGGCCCAACATACTGTTGAGCCTACTCAGATAAAATCGTGCGTGACGGGTTACTCTTTTGATTACGTGGGGCTTGAAAGTGAGCCCTGTGTCTAGAGTGACACCTAAATATTTGGCGGACGTATGCCAGGGGACAGGGGTCCCTAGCATACGTATTGGTGGAGTATTTTTGAGACGGCGTCGTTTATAATCGAAGTGAACGGCGGAGCTCTTCTCCGGGTTCACATCGATGCGCCATTTTTTGAACCAAGCTCCTAGGTCATCAACTGACTTTTGGATCTTGTTCCGTATGAAGGGTAGTGAGACACCTTTGCAGTAGATGGCAGTGTCGTCTGCGAAGAGGGAGAGTTGAACACCTTTCGACGGGATGGGAATGTCGTTGGTGAACAGGATGTACAGCAGAGGAGCAAGTACTGAGCCCTGAGGGACACCAGCCTTGATAGTTCGCTGTGAAGAAAGCGTGCCTTCGTGTCTAAAACGAAAGGTACGATGTTTTAAATAGGAGGCCACGAGACGAACTAGACGATCGGGGAGACCTATTTTATAGAGCTTGTAGATGAGGACTGTGTGCCAGACCTATCGAAAACTTTAGCTATATCGAAAAAGACCGCGATGGTCTTATGACGACGAGGATAGAAACCGCTGAGGATATATTCCACAATGCGGTGAACTTGTTGGGGACATGAGTGTTTGGCTCGGAAACCGAATTGATGGGGAATGATAAGAGGGTCGCCGTCTGTGGGAAACAGATAGCGCCTCATACGCGTTTGAGACTTTATTGCCGATTGTTCGGCTTTTATACTTTTTTTAGAGAGCTCCGCGCTCGACGACGGATCT